AATTACTCATGTGGGAAAGAGCCAAATGGTCCTGCCAGCTGATGCATCCATGCGCTGCCACACTTCGCTTTTGTTTCAGTTGTTGGGGTTTTGAAAGGTTGTCAGAGATGGGGATCGTATCTTTCACAGTCATGTAGCATCCGATGTCCCAGCAGCGCTGGTACCACTGAATTAAGTTTCAGTGCCCTTCTGTGATCTGTTATTATCTCTGCTGTACAGGAGGGGAGGCTCAGACAAAGACAGATGAAGCTGTTTGCTGAAGGTCACAAAGCAATTCTCCAGCGGTGCTGCTCTGCTGATTTCCAGCACTGTCTCAGAGGCAAGGTTGTCCTTTTTCCCTCGAGGGTGCTGAAGGGAGGCATATCATCCCTTTTTTCAGTGTCCTTTTCCCGTGGTAGAGCAGAGTGAAATTGTCTGGACAGGTGAAGCAAGTGGGCTTCCAAAGGCTTGTCAAATCAGCCTTCCTCATCTGCCCGTGCGTGGGGCTGCCCGGCAGGAGCCAGCAGGTGGAAGGGGCACGGCAGCACAAGCACTGCCAGGTAGGTGGGCAGAGACACCTTCGGGCCCTGTAGAGGATGGCAATGTGAGAAGCATCATCTATTTTAAACTCATATTTCTGATGAGAGTAAAAGATCAAATGTATTTATAATTGTTAGCAGCGTGCTGGCTCACAACAGATTGATCCATTCCCCTGTGTATCATCCAGCTCCGCCAATATTCATGAGAGCGCTCATCTGCCAGGGTGAAGAGGGTATTTGGCAGTGCCCAGAGCTGTCTGCCCAGCTCTGTGTGTTCAGTGGTGGTGCTGATGAATGATGTTCACACTGTCCTGCCACAGGTTAGCTGGGGGTGGGAATTCCCAAGAGCAGAGTACTTGTAATTAGGAACATCATGGGTACCCAAATACTCAGAAGCAGGCAGCTGTGCGTGCCTGCAGCATATGAAAAGGGCACTGCTTCTCCTAATGGTTCACAGAAATGAGCTGGAAAAAGAGGATTGGGGTGACCTCTGACATCATTAGGAGGTAGCTGCTCAGTAGCACTGAACCATGTTCTCAGGCAGGTAGCATCAGTAAGCTGTTACGGGGGTCTAAGCAGGGGATCTTATGGGATGGGAGCTGTTAGCTTCTCTTTTTTGTGTTACTTGCTGTTCTGTCAGCATGTCATGGCCAAGGACGGGCTTGATGGTGAGCAGCATGCTTCCAGGGCTCAGCGAGGCTGCGCACACCAGTCACTGCCTTCTGGGTGCCTGCATTAATTTGGTGCTGGGAGAAAGAAAAGCCACTGCAACGTCAAGAGTCACTTTCCCCTTTCGAACAGTAACACTAGGGATGTGATGTGGCACTGACTCAGAATTGCCAGGCTGTGATCAGTGGTATGACTGGCATCATGGAAGTCTTTATTTCCTTCTGGAAACTCCTGAAAATCTTAATAAATAAATATAGAGATTTGGTGTAATCAGTGATATTTTTTAATAGCTTTGGCTTCCTTTTTTTTCAGTTGGTCTCTTTGTGGGATGGGATTTTTCTCAGTGTAGAAACGTACTTCATCCAGGAGCATGGTATAGAGAAATGGTTTATTTTTCCAGAGTCCATCACGGTATCTTTTCATCTACAGTCAGCCTTTTCTGAGATGGCTGGAACCACAATATTCCATTTGTTGTTGCATTGCTATTTTTTTATAACACGTTAATAAAAGTAATATATTATTTTCACCTGCCTTGGAAAAGAGACTTTCCATCATCAGAGCTGAGATGTCTATCACCTGATAAATCTACTTTTTCAGTGGAAAAGAAAGTCTAATACGTACTAGCAAATTCCCCCAGCAGTAGGATGTGTTGGGGATTTAGTGCATAACTGGATGCTTCGGTAAACTCTTATAATCTACATACTCTAGGGTCCTATCTGTGCTGACATCTCACTTATTGGGAAGTGAGAAATAGGAGGAACACCTTTTGCTCATTTCTGCCTCTTAGTGTGATTAAACGAACTGTCCAAGGACTTGTGTCAAGGCCAAAAAGGGAAACATAAGGCTTATTTAATGATATGCAGAAACTCTTCTCCACGCTTGAAGCTCTAAGATGATCACATTTTTCCTTTGTCTCTGTGTTGCTTACTCTGAGAAACATCTCCATACCTGGCTGGGTGTTGGGATCCAGCATGGCAACATCTGTAATCTTTGGGTGGATGCAAAAAACAAGAGGCTGGTGCAGGTCAGTTCTTCTCCTTGTAGTAGATTGAATAGAAACTTGTCCCAGGTTGCTATATGTATATTTATATCTCATTTTCAGCTTGATTTTGAGAAAGGATTAAATGACCATCAAATGTTCCTTCAAGGAGTCCAGGAATCTGCTGGCAAACACCAGCAAGGATTTTGGGAAAGGGAAGGCTGAGTGCAAGCAGAGCCTGTAGCACTGTGGGCTCTCAAGCAACAGACTCCAAATGCAGGGGTGCTGTAGGAAGACACTGCACGTAGTTGCTTCTGGATCGGATGAGAGGACAGGGAGGGAAGAAAGACATGAATAGAAAGGGAGGCAGAAAAGTAACATCTGACCCTTGGACAGAGAGCAGAAGCTGCTAGTAGTCAGGCTGGGAGACACGAGGAAGCAGCAGCTTTCAGAGCCTTTTGGGAATGAGTCATCTCTAGGGCAGTTTTGGTTTGATTTAAAATTGCAATAGGGTCTTATGATTGTGAGTGAAACCCAAATTAGTGGTCCTATTTAAGACACCAGTGCCAACTTGATTGCTTTGAATGAGGCTGGTTTAGGGAAATATATATATTTATTTTATGTATATATACACATAATATAAACATGTTTATTTTTATTCAAATTGAACTCTTCTTATGATGACATAATTATTATAACTTGGAATGAGATAAGTCATGTTTGGTGGTTTATTTGGCTTCCAGTGAGCAAAATAGCAAGAAGTTTATTTTCCTGTACCAAAACAATTATTTTAGCCTTTTTTTTTTCTTTTTTTTTTTTTTTTTTAATTATGACCTTTCTACTGGAGTAAAAAAGAGACCAACAACTTTTGGACAAACTGTTTGTGTTTTAAAATCTGTAAGTGTTCATGGAGACAGGGAACTCATTCCAGAGTATTTTCCTCAGAAAATCTCTCTCTGATTGCAATTCAAGCATATCCAAGGGAAGACAGTAGCCTTGTGTAGAGCAGGGTTTGGGACAAGAGGATCTGAGAGCCCTGCTCAGGGGTGCTCTGAGGTCAGGCACGAAGCACTTGTGAAATGCTAATTGTTGAGCCTGAGAGGAGCAGCTGCTCCTCCAGTTGTTCCTGAAGTGGAAAAAAAACTAATTAAATCAACAAATAACATTGCATAAAGTTCAGGTAAAGGGAAAAAACAATGTATTAATTTTCCTAGCATTTGGGTTCGGGCAAAAGTAGCATTATTCTATGACAAACAGGCTGTAGATCAGACTCATAGATTCACGGGGTGGCTGAGGTTGGAAGGGACGTCAAGGTCATCAGGGCCAGCCCTCCCCGCTCGGGCAGGGTCGCCCAGATAACCCACCCTTCAGCAGTCGACTGAATTTTTCAGGATATTTTTGTCTTTGTGACTTCATTCCTGCTGAGAATCTGCTCAGGGCATGTGTTAACTTAAAAATAATATGTAAACAAGGTGTGAACAGTTCAGTTATGTGATAGCCTGAGGTTGAAAACACGGCAATCAAATGCAGCGTCTGCAGTTGGCAGGGAGATGTTCTTACCGCCTCGGGAAGACTTGAAGTTAAACTTGTTTGGAAATGTAGGCGTTGAGTCTGTGAAACAAATTTACTTTCACATATAAATGAAGAACGCTCCTCGGCGTTTGAAGGGAGCTGGTGGAGCTCTCAAGCTGCGTTTAGGAGAGAGGGGCTGTGCTCCCTGCACATCTCATCCTCCTAGAGACAGTCCTTCTGGTGAGGTTATGTTTTCACATCATCTGTGAAGAGAAAATCTTTGGGAAAACAATGGGAGGTGTGATCCCTCAGAAGGGCTTTGCTCTCTGTGTGACTGCTGCCAGCCTCTGCCCCGAACGCCTGGGGCTGCTGCCACCATCGGGCAGCGGGCTCTGCTTTGGACCACGCGAGCTAACAGGAGAGCCAACAGCTTCTGCTGTATTTTTGTTGGGTGTCTGAGACCTTCTTGACTTGAAAGCAGAGTTCTCAGACGCCAGATTTCTGCATTGTGCTTGAGTTCAGCCTTTTGTTCTCCTTGTTGTTGCCTCCAAGTAGATTTGGGGGTATCCTCAAAAGGAGCAAAACCCCTTCCTGTTCTAGAAAAAAGGGCAGGAGCTCACATATTAAGCTCCTTTCCCCAGAAAATGAAAGCCCTCTACAGGTCACAATATTGAGAATTCCAGCAAACGTAGGAGAAAGGGAGAAACGGTCCTGGAAGGGAAGGTTGTAGTTTAAGAAAACCAGGTGTGGGGTGAGCGCTGACTCTAGCTGGAGTGCAGTCACCCTTCTGGTGGCCAGGCTGCTCACAGGGGCTGGGCCTGGGGCCTGAGGGCCTTTGGCTGACCAAGCCAGCTGGTTGTAAATATTCTTTCAGAGAAGAGAGGGAGGAAAAAAATCCTTCCTCCTGAGTTTTCTGTTGCATGTGGCCTTTTTGCTTCTGACAAGAGGATATCTGTTTTTCTGCTATCAGACTTGGTGATAGTAAAAGCTCCTGAAGCTGACTGCAGTATGGAGTCTAACCTAGTTCACCTGCAGACCTAACAACATGTGTTCATGTCTATCACTGCTGGTCAGCAAAAAAGAATGACTGCAACAGGATTGTCAGTGCACTGGTACCACCATATTTCTATCCGGTCTTGAACCCTGTTGTCTCAGGATTTAGATTTGGGAGATGATGGCTGTTTCTCTAGGTCTGTGTTTGTACAGTAACATGTGCCATATTTAATCCCATCCTATCAGCCGGGCTCCAAAGCAATCAAGTTATATAGACATAACATTCACCATTTTGCATAAACCACTAAGTCTTTCCTTCCTTTTGACAGATTGAAGACATCATCACAAGAATGCAGGATGACAAAACAGGTGGAGTTCCCATCCGAACTGTCAAGAGCTTTCTGTCTAAAATCCCCAGTGTCGTCACCGGTAAGAACCCTGCTTAGAACAGAAGAGTATGAGCTGGTGCTAGCTGGCTCTAAGCAAACAGAAACTGAACACACAAAAAAAGAAGGAATGAAAGAAAAAATTGCCCATCTCTGCTGCTTTTTTCCACACTGTTGTTAGGCATGAAGTATTGAACCAAGATTGCCTAATTGTTTAAGCAGACATTGATATTTCCTTACGTTGTGTTATATTTAAAGGTATGTTACATACTTTTTGTCTATCACAGTATCATCGGGCACAGTCATTCCATATGATGGGAATAGGACTATTTTAGAGAAGAACTGGGGAAAGAAAGCTGAAGCAGTGTTTTCTCACTTATACCCAAATACTTCTGAGATTTGTTGTGCGTACAAGAATGTGAAATATCTTTTGTGCTTCTATGACATTTTGTTAAAACTGTATGTGCAAAAGTGTGGATGGAAATGGCTGTCAGTACAAAAACATTCCTGTCCATATTTTCAGACAGAATAGTTGCTACTGCAACAAAGAATTTTGCCATTATTATGTGCTGTTTATTCAGGGTGATGTAGTGTAAATGGTTGGGGGATTTGTACTTGTGTTTCTGGTACCTGCTTTTGCCAATTCTATAGTAGTATTCATGGCAGCAGTACAAAAGAACTTTCCTTTCTCTCTACCACTAGACTTCTGTCCAATATCCAATACCCAACTACTCCTTAAACTTATCTTATTTATGTTGTAAAGCAAACATAACTGTCACAGTCCTGCAGAGATTCTTTGCAGTTCAGGCGAGGTACACATGGTGATGCATCAGTTTAGGGAAGTTTCATCTCTGTTTTCCTGAAAACTAAAGGACTTCATTCTCTGTGGCTGCTACTGTGGCATCTTCACTTCAGTAAAATCAAATGATCACTAAAAATGCAGGAATGCATGTGTGCATTATTGCAAAATAATGCACACCAAAAACCAAGAGACAGCTGGCAGTTCAAATGGATCTTTCTTGCTCTTGGGTACTTTATCCTGTTGTAAAATAATGGGATAATATCTGTAGTCAACAGGAATACTGGCAGTACAGCTGGTGTCAAGCAACTGCAAAGATGGTTCCCTGCAGTGGAGGATAGCTGAGCTGAAGCACTTCAAAAACGTCCTTACTGTGAAAAATGTTGGATTGGGCAGAGTTTGAAACTGTGTTGATTCATTCAGGAGTGTGATTTGATATCCTTGTATCAGGAAAATAACATCCAACTAAAGCTACAGGAATGGAATACAAATCTGCCAAGCTCTTGGGGATAGGCAGGGAATATGGAAATTGAAGTTTTTACTTAAATAAGGCTCAGTCCAGTTAATCCCTTTTTATTGAGCAACAGGCTCTTATGTCTGAAATTGGTTTCAGGGTGGTGACTCAATATAACTGACAGTTGCAGGATTAGGGCTTTACTCTGGGAGAGAAACATGAATTTGGAATGAGATGTGAAAACTGATAAATTGCAGCTAATGGCTAGAGCAGGTATGAGCTGGCTGTTCTTGAAGGTTCATGGGGAAAACAACCGTATATCTGGTTTGCAAATTCATTCCATAAATGATAGTCTACAATATGCAAACTGGATGTCTTGAGGTTTACTCAACTAAAACAGGTTTCTAGTATACCTGTTAATATTCATAACATTGATTAAGTGGTTGATCTAGTTATCAAGTTGCCATCTGTTACCCAAGAGGAAAAAAAAAAAAAAAGGGGAAAAAGAAAAAGAAAGAAAGATGGGAGACCTCACAGCATCTTTGAAGAAGTGATTATCATTAGGTAGCACTCAGGTTGGCAGTACCCTGCTATGGTGGTGCCTGCCCCTTTTGACTGTTCTCTTGGAGCAGCAGCTGCATCACCTTCTAATGGCTGCTTTTCAACAGCGCAGGGAATAGCAAAAATCTGAAAATAAAAACATAACCTCCTTCCAAAGCTCACAGCAAATTCTTAAATTTGGAATGAACCAAGCTCAGTAACACTCCCTTCAGGTGATTTGAAGGCAGTTCCCTTGTGATGTGCTGCACAGTGCATGAAGCCTCTGAGTTTGAAAAGTATGGGAAAATAATGACTTGGCTGAAAGCCCAAAGGTGTCTCCTTTTCTTACTTCTCCCTTCAGATGCATACACCTGCTTTCTTATTGACCAAAACCAGAAGAAATCTGTATCTGATTTCACTGTTGGCTTTGCATTTGGCCTTGCTTTGAGTAGAGGTGGGACTCGGTGTGACCTCTAAGGAATCCTTGCAACCTGAATTATTCTTATGTCCATAGGATACTCAATTTTAGTGTTTTTCTAGTTTCGTTAAATTTCATGAACACAAGAGAAGAGCTTGTGTTTTCGAAAAATCCTTGGGCCTACCTTTACAGCCCTCCTCTTGGGAAGAACTTAATTTCCTGATTCTGGCATTCTTGCACGCTTGTTTCATTTTTTATTTATTTTTTTTACCTGAAAAGTAGAACAGCAATGTCGAGACATGATTTACTTGGCAAGTTCTCAGTGACTGTGATTAACAGAGGTTTATTTTTGCTTGACACTTCTATTGTAATGGATTCTCACAGGAGAAATGTAAAATCTTAAACAAAAAGAAACAGTACAGCAGCACCTTGGTGTTCTAAACCTGCAGTTCTGTTTATAGTACAGCAAAGTGGGTGTTTGATTTAAAGTTTGAATACTAGGGAAAGAACCACTTGTCTCAGTTTTGCTTTCATCTGTCCAGATGCCTAAGTTATGAATGAAGCATTCTGCAACACAAGGAGAAGGAGCCTCAGGGAATTATCATTAATGGTCCTCTCTAGACAACAGGAGTCTAGGAGAAGGATGAAAAAACCTTTTTTGAATGTATGATGAGTCTGTGTGAGGATGCTGTGCCAAAGGCACGTTTTAATCTGCATTAGAAGTAGATTTGTGTATCCTCTTCCCTGGCTTTTGGCTAAAAGTAGGTCAGTCAAAGGAAGGCACGTCACACCGTTATCGTGGTTCAGTCTTCGCTTTTGCAGGCAAACTGCAGAGAGTGGAACTAAGATGTAACCAGACCGTTTGAGATCTGCGTGCAGGTACCTGAAAGAGATTGCCCAGTACGTGTAGAGAACAGCACTGGCATGATGGACAAAGGGAAGGAAAGGCTGACTGACGGCAGGTATTGAGTAGTGCAGTGATCCATGCACAGACAGGGTCATCGGACGATGTCCATGATGGATGGCAGTTGTTGTCATAGACTTTGACATCTTTCAATAAGAAAACTACTTTCTCAGCAATAATTTGTTTCTGCAAATGAATTAGCAATTCTGTATTGTCCCGGTCATCAGGCTATTGTAAGAACATCTCATTACACTATTCGGCAACAAAACCATCTTTCTAATCTTTTTGATTTCCATACTCAAAACTAACCTCCTGTTTGGTTGGAGGACCAAAGGCCTATACTTCTACCAAAGACTGAGACTTTGCCCTGTGCAATGTTATTGAAACAAGTCAGAAGTCAGTGCTGACCTGTAACAGCTGAGCTTTCCAGTGCAAAAAGCCTCCTTTATGATTTCCAGTCTTCACCCTGCCCCCAACCTCATTCCAAATTTCCCCATCTGATCCTGTGTGCCAGCATCTTTGCTGTTGTGACCCAAGGGATATGTGCAGCCTACAAGTCTCTCACCATCCTGCCTTCATCTCGAGAAGTTTTGATACAACTTCATCGTGACCCATAACGCACTGACCTCAAGCAGTTCTTTCCCCACAGCTCTGTTTTGAGTGATACCTCTGTCTTCCAGCAGCACTCCCCTAGTTGTCACCTCACTTGTGCACTACTCCTGACCCTTACCCTTACCCCAATGCTTGCTTGCCTCCTTGCTCTGCTCCCAAAGCTGCCTGCATAGCTCTGAGATTGATGGGTGACAACCCAGCTGTACAGGCTTGGGTTAAGTGCCATACAAGCTTCATGTACGCAGCCCTGCCAATGCATTTCATTTGTGACCTACCATGTCTTTCGTAGTTAAGTCCTGGACCTCTCTGAGCAGAAAGTGCCAGTATTGCTGAAATCAGCCAGATGGCCTGTCGTTTCTCGAGACTCATGATATATACCAAGTTTAAACTGCCATGTGTCTCTGTCTGAAGAAGCCAGCGTGTATCTTGGCAAATGCTTATAGAGTTGTCCCAGAACACTTCAGAATGTCACGCACTCAAAGAAAATGCATTTGGCTGGGGAATTGAAATCCCACAGTGTCGTGAAAGAGAGGATTTATTATTGATAATGTTCTCTAACCGTGTAGTTCATGGCACCTAAGCTCTGGAATAGTTCATGAACCCATTGTGAGATGAGCTCCTCGGAAGCAAGTCTGAGGGATATTTGCAGCATTTTCCTTTCAGAGGAGCTCAGATGTATCTCTCATCCAGACATGACAGCCAAAGGTGCCAAGGAGAAGAGCAGATTCCTCTCTACAGTGTTTGAAAGGGCCTGGATCAGAAAAACTGTTCCAAGGAAGAGGTTGGTGGTGAATGGAGCAGGACCAGGACTGGCAGGGCTGACGAGCAGCAATACCCATCACCTGTCAGGTCCCAGAGAGCCAGCTCCAAGGCTGAGTGCTTTGCCTTAATGTTCATTCACCTTCCTCAGTGCCTCCCTGAAACTGCTTCATTGAGACCACATAACTCCACGAGTTGGCTGCAGATGGGTTTGGCTCCCCCTGGGCTGTCTGTTGAGCTCCTTTCATCACCTGACCGTAGGATTTTAACTGTAGTACTGACTCTGATGCAGGCTGCATTGAACACTTGGGTAGTTTCACTCTAGATCTAAAATATACATCCCTGGATTTGGGACAGCAACAGTTTCTCAACCTGAGCAGCTAAAACTCTTTTCAAAATGAGTGTGTGAATCAGTTTTAGCCCAAGTCAGCCCCTTTTTTTTCTTTTTTCTTTTTTTTTCTTTTCTTTCCTATGCAGTTTCACTTTGAGAAGCAGAGGACTTGAAATGCAGTACTGGCTCTGTTTCAGGCAAAACTGATAGATAGTCCCAAATCTAA